GATTATTTTTAATTGAAAGTTAATAAACTATGGTAATGGTCCAATTCCCTTTCAATGATGAGCTTTGATAATGAGCTGGAGCTATAAATACCTGTAACGGCTGCAGACTCATTTGACCCGGACATTCATGTGGATTGAAACCTGTCCCACTGAAGACAAAAGACAGATTTGAGTGCTTCTTATGTTTGTCCAGTGGGAAAGGGGACTAGAGGGGCACAAAAAAGGACAAACAGAAAAAGACGAACGAGTTATTAAGAAATAGAATGAGAAAAGAAAACGTGAGGTGCAAACACAAAGAAGGCGTAAATGGGATGATGGAGTTGCAATTTCTATGATGGTTAAATGTACAAATTAGTGGACAAGGGCGAAGACAAGAAAGCATGAAAGAAAGAGACATATCCGAGGAAAGGAGGGAGCCACAGAGAGCGGGAACTAAAGGAGAGAGGGAGAGAGGGAGAGAGGTTCCTAATGCTGATTTATGAGTGCTTGACGGTCGTTAGCTGGAATAAATGGCTTGTAGGAGTGGCTGCAGCATTACTCCCTGTACAGGATACTAAGTGCATTGTAAGGTCAGCCATAAGGCCAAACTTACATATGTAGTGCTCTGCCCTTGTAAACCTTTGTTAATATATCAGCTACAGGATGGGACTGTAACTAGTCCATCTGATACACCCGGATGACTGCGACTCCCTAACCTGCATGCTAATACATTTTGATTTTGAGACCAAACTTTAATGGACACAACTTTTATAGTTGGACACAAAAATCAAACGCACCTACTGTGTTTGGTGGTAACGATTTGCTTTTGCCAGAAAATGTATTTAACAAGTATAAATTATCATGATTTGATATCTTAATAAAATATTTATATACGATTTGATGACTCGGATGATGATTCAGAGTCTTGGCCAGGATTGCCTCGGCTCTCAACATTAATCTTTGCTAATAAAAATAATAGTTATTTGCCCCCACTGGTACAGGTTATGCTAACGCTTAGCATTTTGTGCTGATAAAAATAATCTTTATTTGCCGCTCGCTACAGTCCATGCTAATTCTTAGCATTTGGGGCGATATCTTGCAGAATTAACTTGCAAGCCATTAGCTTCTTCCAATGGTTCAGAGGTTAAGTTCATAAAAAAAAAGGTTATCATGCAAATGTTTTGCACATTCTCTACACAAGGCAGACATCTGCCATTGTGGGTTAGGAATGCTCCCTCATTAGGTTATTAGAAAGGTGTATTATATGAACTTTGTGTCTCCTTGAACCCTTTTAGAATCAAGTCTTGCATTGCTGTTGTAAACACAACTCCACTCTGCATATTTCAAGATAGGACAATATATTTTTTCAGAAGATTTCATAAGAAACGAGAATGTAGAATTCAAAACTGAATAAAATGGTCTGTGTACGGATTGTACATTGTTGAATGTTCCGTGCCTTTAAAGTATATTTTCAATATGAAACACACGCTGTATATAAGGCATTAGATGTGAGTATGTTTTTCCTGCAGGCTATCATCATAGTTGCATCACTTTACACTTGCATCAAGCTCACTCTGGACAAAATTAAAGTCCACATTTTTAGTACGCACTCACTATAAACATGCATCTCTTGACATAGTAGAAGAAGACGCTGGCGTGTTGCTTCTAGTCACCGTCACCATGAGTCGCATTATCTTTTTTTTCTTTATATTCCTCGCTTTCTGTTGTGATCTGGTGACTCACGCACACATGTTCCTGCTTTAGTTTTTTCTCCTCTGTTGCTTTTCAGTTGACCTAGCTCCAGACAAAAGGAATGGAAGGGAGCAGAGAAATGGAATGATTGCGTAAATGGAGGGCTATTTTCAGATAGAAAAGAAACAAGAAATGCAAAAGTGAGGAGGGGAAGGGGGAAAAGAAGAGGCGTGGGTGAGGGGCAAGTCGATGAGACGGGAGGAGACACGAGAATTTGACGAGGCTGGAAACAAAAGGCAAACAAAAGTAATTCACAGCGATTCTGTGAAGGACTATTGCTGGAATGAATTTGTTTCCCTTTTTCTTTCATACAGTAGAAGCACTGCTTGCATTTCTACTTTTAATATTAGCAGTCTTCAAGTAGTCTTTCTCGTATTGCTCTGCCACTCCTGCTGTCTTTCCTTCATGTTTGTATTAACTAGCTAAGTGATGTGATGCAACATCCATGTAATGGTCTCTGTTTTTCTCTGATTCGACCATTACTTTAAGCATAAAATATGTAGTAAAATGTCTAAGAACAACTAGATGTGTATAAAGTTATGCACATATTTTATCCCAAGTGTTTCCAATTTGTTTTAAAACACAGAGAAATCCCCCCGTAATTTTGTATATGCAATGTATCCTTTTATGGACATATTTAGTCTTTGTGATGTGTAAGAGTTGTGGTTTTATGTCAGAAATAGGTTTTTACACAATTTTTACGTAGATATTTGTCGTTTTTAATTAGATGAAGGCTTATAGTCATCAAATGTCAAGTTATCAGAACACAAGCTGAGTAAACTAAAGCAGGATTTGAGTTCCATTGGTGAAGCACAGATTTTTCTGGTGATACTGCTTTACTTATTGTTTTGTACTGGTTCAAGTCACCATGTCTGTTTTCTATAGATAGGAGGAGACCTCTGTGGATAATTTGGCTTCCTGTGAAAAGCTTTTGTCGTTTTAATTGAGACAACCCTTGTGTAAAATGACAGATTACGCTTTTAATAGTATATTTCCTCACCACTGTTAAATGGGATAGTTGCACTACACACACACACACACACACACACACACACACACACACACACACACACACACACACACACACACACACACACACACACACACACACACACACACACACACACACACACACACACACACACACACACACGCACTCCCTCCCTCTAACAAATGAGTTTACCGTGGTCACAACCTTCACAGAGCTCATTATCATAGATTGCAGGCCTTTTCATAAAGCGGAGACCACTGGTGACTGATTACTAGCTGGATGGTCATACACACATACATATATATATAGACACACACACACACACACACACACACACACACACACACACACACACACACACACACACACACACACACACACACACACTGATCCGTAATGAGACCTTATTCCGGACACCCCACCCAGCTGCCTGTAAATTACAGCCGCCACTCTGCCATACATACTTAATCAGCTAATGTTTTTTTATTCCTTTATTATTAATTTGCTCCTGTTTCTGATTTATCTAAAGCGCTCTGCATCACACCAATATTTTTGTCTCCTTTACAGTTCAGAGAGGCAGAGTAGGCCGTGTGCTTATTCATGTACTTAGGGGATTGCATCTGTAATGAATGGACTGGCTGTTTAGGCATACACAACACAGCCTACTACTCACCTTAATAATGTAAGCAGGTCGTAACTCCTGCTAACCCAAGGGTATATAAGGCACGCATACACACACACACATTTGCTCACCCAAACAGCCTACCTGAATTAGCCGCTGACCTCTGCTTATGCCAGGTCTTCTCGCTGTCACATTGCAGCTGCATTGGAATATGAATGTTTTCTGATTGGAGGAGAAAATCTTTTGTGTGTTTGTTTGACTGTTTGTTTGGTATGTTGTTTAGTACACACGTATTTAAGCCCACCTTATTTGAATAAGCAACGGTACACCATCAAATCCTTTAAAAAGAAACAGGATTTTAGTGCTTAAACATTTTTTTCCCGAATAAAATCTATTGTTCGCTTGAAAGCCTTATTTTGGGTTTTGTTGCTTGCAAACGATGGGTAACGTGAGGGATAATTGGAGAGTAGAGTGCTGGTGTTGTCAGAAAGCATTAATTAGCGTCATCTAAAATATTTTATCTTTGCTTAACATATAACATGTGCCTAAAAATAGCAAGTTATTCACACAGCAGATATAAAGGTAGTCGGTCTTTCTTCAGCATGCAGTACATGTTAACTTCACACAACATACATAAGATACATTTCAACTTTCCATCTGCACCAGCTCCCTTTTAGATGCACCTCTACCCCATATTCTTCATTCACGTAAACTCGAATTTGCACACATACCATTACTTAACACTAGCGTATGCATAATTGAAACACACGCTTATATTTAAAGCACACACACACACAGGACTGTGTTGACCTGTGAGTCATTGCTCTCGGCATTGATTTCCTTTTCCCAGAGTGACCCCTGTCACCACAGCAATAGAGTGGCCGATATTTCACCAGAACTGCTGTGTCTCTCTCTCAAGCCCCCCCCCCCTCTCTCTTTCTGTAAGTCTGACTCTTTATCTCTCTGTACTTCCCACTAACTCCCTCCACACATCTCCTAATTTGTTCTCCAATAATAGTCCTGATAGTAATCAAAAAGCTGGGTGACTGTAATTGTAAGGCTTCATTCATTTTGTAACATTATCTTATGTACAGTAACAGTATGAGTTGACCTTACAAAACCAAAATCTCCTCCACTAACCAACGTTCAGTCACAAAGAAACACAAAGAGTTATTCAGTATCACAAAACGAACAGTAGTCTCTGTGTGTTTAAGTATGCTCATGTACTCTTTATCTATGAACTCAACTTTCTCTTCAATTCAATGGCCTTCTTTCAGAGCGAGTGACTTCCTGTGCCACTATTGCGTCAAATGCTTTTATCCCCAAACCGGACAGCTATATTAAGTCATTAGAGTAATCATAATTCAATTAGATTTTAGATTATTTTCCTCTTTATTTGATTTTGTCATCTTTTTTAATTAGATTTTTGTTATTTGTGTTCCGTTTTGAAAAAGAGGAAAGCAGACTTTTCCCTTGAATTAATAGTTTTTTCAGTCTCAAACTGAAATGAAGACCTTGTCTTTTGCTGCCATGGTCTTTAAGATGCTTCAAGTTGAACATTTCTTAATCTCCTCATGTCTGTGACTAATGAATAATAATTGCTGTACATGCCCCATGTGACTCAATAATGTGGATGTAATTTCATATCTCCCCCAGGTGTCTGAGGCTGATCTGAGGACTTTGTTTCTGGATGAGCTTGTTGGACCTGCGGCTAACATCCCACACAGGTATGTGTAGTTACAGCCACACTCAGATTCCCCCCTCATCAACAAGGCTTCTTTCCCCAGGTAAAAGTTTACCCTTGACTAAAATGACTTATAACTTCTTAAGAATAACTTTATGAATCGCCAACACACACATGCAGGTCCCAGTGTAGATAGAGGTAACAGAGTCGGCCTCGGGGACTCTGCCTCTCCTCGGGGGGGGTTGAGCTCCTCGGGGAGTCGCTGGAACATCTCTGTCCCCCTTGGCAATATGCAAATCCCTATATGATATTTGCCACCATGCAGAGCTCCAAGGCCCCTGAAGACTTGTTCTGTTTCTACTTTCTGGAAAGGCAGATTTTCATTCTAGGTTTTGCACATTTTGACAATGAAAGAAGCATTTTCTGAATCTAAATGGTCATCCTCATACATATGTGCCTATTCCAGATGTTTACATCCTTAGCTAGACGCCTGGACTCACCAACTGAGTCAACTTTTATATATGTTGAGCTTCGGCTGGAAAGTAACTTCCTTTAGCAGCCGAGCAAACTCTGATTTTGTCATTAAAAGTATCCTGCAGAAAAAACATTGAATTAAATTTACCTTATTTTGCAACCATACACATTAACACTACTTTTTAACCTCAATTTTCCATTGATGTCTTGCACTGACAGCATTGATAATATATAGCATTATAAACCTGAATACTGTAAATGTAATGGGGTAAAAACAATATTTGCCTCTGAGACGTAGAGTAAATGGAAATAGTTTGATGAAGTACCTCACCAAAGTATTTGAGTAAATATACTTTGTTACAGTAAGTGACAACATGGATAATAATACATTTCTGTCCTAGACTACATTGTAGAAGTTGGCATTGTAAGGTTTAGTGTGATTACATGAAATAAATCAAATGCCTTGCAAACATAAAATTCCATTCAATATTGTTTTATTCAGAAGCTGTAATATGAAAAATAGGAACACAGGCAAATACGGTTAGACGTTACCAGTCAGTAGTTTGACAGCTTGCAGTGCTGCCAATTAAACTTGAGCAGGAATTGGTGGTCTGGCACAATTTGGCACAATTGAGTTTGCGGCTGCGGTTTCTTTGCCGTTCCTGCGAGAGGCACCGAAGGGCGTGATGGATCCTCCGTCAGCGTGCCAGCTGTCAGAGGCGCGGGGATTTGCATCACACCTTGAGCGTTTTAAATGGCTGCACATATTATAATAATAAAAAAAATGAAATGAGTAAATCAGGACTCATGACAGGCAGGTTGAAACAGTGGGTGAGTGTGTGTGTTTCTTGCCACCAGCGTCAACATTAAACACATCAGATTGAAGCCACCCTCCAGGGTAGCATCACTCAGCCAGGTGTGTGTGAGTGTGTGTGTGTGTGTGTGTGTGTGTGTGTGTGTGTAAATGTGAGCATGGTGAAACCTAAGTCTTTTATCTACTTTTCTTTTTCCTCTGGTTTTTTGTTTATCTACAGATTTATTTATATATTAAAGCTGTGCAGAACACACTCTCACACACAGATTGATCTATCGATGTATTGATGTGTGAGTGGGTGTCAGTATTTTATTTTCCCACTTCCTTCCCATTGTTTAATTATTTCCCCTAGTATGATATCCTGCAGAGTTTTTCACACTTGAGTTAGTGCTGTTTTCCTTTTCCAAAAGCAGTCAAATGCTGAAAGTTAGTTAGGTAAAAAGAAAAAGCTTTGACAGAATATCCTGATTCTCATTTGGGACCGGTAGGAACTTACTTTATTTCCACTCCAGCACTATCCCTCAGTGTAACTGTTCTAATTCAACTGAAAACTTTTCTTTGTTCTGAAGTGATAAGATATTTAGGCTTGGGAGACTGGAGCTTCATTATTGCTACATTATTATTTTCCTGCTTGTGTTTCTATTGTCCAGCTGTTTAGCCGACAGTCTCCCGATTCTTCTCTCCCCATTTATTTTGTATTGTTCAAGGTCTCCAGAAGATGCCCATTGCTTTGTATCTCTGACTCTATTTCTCCACTCTGTTTCTCTCCCTCTCTCCCACTTCTCTCTCAGGACGGGAGGAGGATATGTCTCTTTTTCTCCATATTGACTTTCCCAGGTCAGGCTCCTCTTCTCCTATTAGGCCAAGCTAGCTGATCAATACGCCGGCCTGGTGGGCTGCTGTGTGGACATGCAGACAGGCAGACACAGCGGGCCGTGCCCCGGCCAAGTGCCACGCTCATTAACACTCACACAGCAGGAAATATACAGTATACATACCAATCACACTCTCTCAAAAAATGGATTTATATATACAATTCATAATAATACAGCTGATTCTAGAAACAATTCAAGATTCAAAGATTGTTTTTGTCATATGCAGACTAGCTAGGCAAACAAATATTTAGACTCCTCCAACAGTGCAACACACATTATACTTAAGACATAAGAAGTGCAAGTCGAACAATGGTGCGAGTTAAATGCAGGAACAAGCAACTATATACATAGAATAAAAATGAACAGAAAGTTAAATGCAACTCCTACATTTCTACAATCTGTAATAAAAAACTCACACATCTGAACACAACTAATGCCAAAATCAATCAACCAATCAATCATGTATAAATCTATAAATCGTCATGCACTTGGTGGCTTCCCTGTCAAATGTGAAGATGCAACTCCTCTCCTCTCCTCCCCTGCTGTTTTCTCAGCTGGTGAGTTGTGACATCTGCAGTGCTGCATGGATAAGCAGCTGCCAGAGATGGAGGGGGGGAGTGCCGTGGAAGACAATGCAGGAGAGAAGGGAAGAAGAGGGAGGGGTGCAGGGCACTGTCAACCAGCAACAGTTAGGTGTACCGCAGGGGGAGACAGGATGGTGTGTGTGTGCCCATGCACATGTGTGTGTGTGTAAATGGCAGCGTGCCAGGCGGTGCCATCTGGCTGCTTGACAGAGCTCTTCTCATTAACAGGGGGGTTAATTGCTGTGGCAGCACCCAGGCTGTGTCAAACATCACCCTGGGGACACGGAGGCAACAGACGATCTACATGTTTGTGTACGCACACGCACAAATGAGTGTGTGTTTAAGCATTAAACTCGGCACTGGGAATCTAAAAGCGCTTTTCTCTACGTAAAAGTGTTAAACAGCAGCCTGCAGTAAATTAGCCGTGGCATATGAAGAGGGCAGCGGAGGGGACCCACCTGTGTCCTGTGTGCATGCATGTGTGTAAGTGTGTGTGCGCTTGTTGTGCAAGTATGCCAGGCTACATGCATGTTTATATTATTCTTATGAATTATGTCTTGTTGCTGTAATGATGTAGAAAGAATTGGGTTTACACAGCCAATGTCTATAGCCCTGAGGGCAAACACACACACACACACACACACACACACACACACACACACACACACACACACACACACACACACACACACACACACACACGGCAGGGGGAAGGGGTGGCAATTTGCATGTTATTACTGCATATTCATGACTAATTTTGTTAGCCTTGCCTAATAGGCCTGAGTGACAGCTTGAGATATCGAGAGTCGACTTTAATATCACACACACTCACGGTGACACACACACATACAGACACACACCCTGCTCTCTGTCCGCACAGTAATCATAACAACACTTAGGGCTCTAAATCGGAATTCCCTGTTCATCTGTTGGTTTGACATTGTGTCATTTGTTTAGCACAACTGCTTTATTGTATATAACAATATGGTAAATCATATAACCTCATTTGTTACATGCATAATCATGACCTGATATGCACCCACACATGCACGCATATTCACACATTAAATCACATGAATACATTTGCATTGTGACTTGTTGCAGGTCACATTGTTTTTGTATTAATTTCCCGAAAACTAGTGAAAAAACTATAAAATGCAGCCTCTACCTGTCGTATTAAATTCAGTTTCATCCATTAACGGTGCAGAAAATAGAACCTTACGTACCATTAAGTAATACAAACTGTGCTTATTTTCTTGGATTTTTCAATCTTTGTTGACTTCAAAGCTGGGTGTGTGTGCATATGTGTGTTTAATAAGAATACTTGGCCAAGACAAAGTGATGTTCCTTATCTCAGCTAGTGAGTGTTTTCCGTCGTGCACACAGCACTCTAACCATCCCTCTGTGAAGGTGAAAATAAGGATGAAATTGGCTGCAGTTGCTTTTCATTCAAAAACCCTCTTTCCATTTACAACTAGTTCCCATTTCAAACCATTCGTCATTTAATAATCTCTACTAAATGTGGGCTGATTTTAAGTATTTCTTCAAAGAACTGACAAGAAAATAAGTTTTGCAAATGCTAATGTGTAGACCAAGCTTTTCCCTCCCTTAAAAAGGCCCTAAAATAATCATGTTTTAATGCAACTGTAGAAGGATTGCTATTTGTGCATATCTTTGGGGAAAGATTGTCTTTGTCCACACATTTATATACATAATAAAGGCTTCTCTGCATGCTTAGGAGTACACTTAACATTCTTTTTTAAAACAGATTTTCTTAGTGAAATGCTCGGCAAAGTGATAATTCATAACAAAGGAACACTGTAGTTAGAGTGGAATAAAAAAAAAAAAGGGAATAGATAGCGCGGCAGCACACACTCCATTCCCTTCTAGACACAGAAACAGACTGTAATCTAAAGTCAGTTTGTTCACACTCTCCTCTGTGGCTTTTACTCCATTTGACTGAAAAGTTGTTTTTTTTCCTGAAGTGAAAGATTTAACTCTCAGCGCTCTCTATCCACTCACATGTCACTTTTGTCAAATCTTGCCTTTCCTTCCCTGCTTGCTGCGAACGTGTAGACACGCTTGATCAAATGTGAGTTTAACATTTTTAATCTGCGCAAAGTTTCATCAGAATAACTCATCTCAGGAGGCTGGTAAATATGAATGTGTGTGTGTGTGTGTGTGTGTGTGTGTGATTGTGAAGAGTACTGCAGAATTGTGTGATCTTTTTTTCTTTCTCCTTCCATCTTGGGTGTGTGACAGCTGTCACTGGTGACTCAGAAAGGTGTCTGGGCAGAGTTAACATATTTTCACTGCCGGGATCTCACGCCTACTGCGGTATACACACACACACACACACACACACACACACACACACACACACACACACACACAGTTGCTCTCACCTAGCACAAATTTCACCAGGCTCAGCATCTCTTTGCTTCTCTTGAATTAGATTTTTCTCATAAAGCACATATTACATTTTGTACACACGGCATGCTGTTCATATAGCGGATTGCTTATTTATATATTACTTTAGGTCAGAGAGCATTACATGAATTAATAAAGCATCTTAATTACAGTAACTGTCAAGGTTGACTTAGCTTTGTCTCATTTTAAATGCAGTAAACCAGTATCAAGAGTGGCCTTGAAAATAACGACTGTATTGAGATCATATAAAGATATTTAACATATTCAATACACATACTGGAAATGGTACCAGGGAATATACTGGCAGCTTAAATTGAATATAATTACAGGAAGTGAGCCACCAGTACAACCTGTTTTGAATTCCCCGTTTTTTCCTGTTATTATTTGTCATTTATCTTCGTCTCTTTTCTTTTTCTCTCTGTTGTTCTGCTCCAGCTCTGTCTCCTTGGTTCAGATCACATCGGAGTTAGAAGACTTGAAAATCCAGTTGCAAACCAAGGACATGGTCATCTGTGATCTGGAGAGGACGCTCAGAGAGAATTCCCAGCAGAAGCAAAAGGTAATCAACCAAAGGTATTTCAAACTACAGGATCACTCACTACACAAAATGTCATCTAGATATTGCCCAATCTTTTGACATCTGCCTTATTATTAAGATCATTTAGCTTTCTTAATATTTCCTATTTCTCAAATGTAATTGAATGCAGTTCATTGCATACACCTACATGCTATTTGGTTCAATCAAGTGTTTTTCCGTACATGAGACAGACATGAACAAAGAAACTAATTCCTATCATTTTAGCCTATTATTTTCATAGCAGTTTTAAGACTGCCCACACAATTAAATGACTTGTTAAGGTGATTTCTCTGCAGAGTGCTTGTTATTGTTTAGAAGGCTGTCTGAGGAGTGGAGTTTTTCTTTTCTTTTTACGATATTGGTTTGGCAGCTGTGCTGGAAGCGCTCCATGTGCAGCCAGGTTTAACAGGAAGCCGAGGCGTGTGTGATGAATTACCGGCATATCTCAGAGCCGGGGGTAACAAACATGGCGTCGCCGGCCGGGATTAAAAGGGAGAGTTTTTTTACGGCCTTCCCACACCTCCTTACAGGGTGTCACTAAATTATACCCACCGCTGTTTTACTGTCTTCTGTGGCTTACGGTTAAGACACGCGTAAATACACACAGGCTTGCAGAAATGCACACAGACATACGCACGCGTGCATTTGTGCTTGTGGTAAACCCGGCTTGTTGGTTGTTTATGTGTGTGTTGGCTGGTTACTGTTTGTTTATGCTGCTTGTGAGTTGTCTCATTTGCACTGCAGCTAATTAGTGGTTTGTGTGATTACACAGCCTAAGAGAAACAAGCGGAGTAACTGGAGCTTGTTCTGTTAATTATATTTTCAACAAATGTTGATATATCTTTTCATTCTGCCTGTGTTTCTGTTTAACTGGTACATCTGCAATGCAGATGCACGGATAGTTCTTTTGGCACAGACTCGTGTACACACACACTTAATAAAGATGATTGCCACAGAATCTCATCTCTGTTCGTTAGCAGTAAGCCAGTTTGTGTATAACGCAAAACATTCCCAGAATCTGACATCTATGAGGCCCAATTAAAACAAATGATATCCGTAGCAATGGAAATAAAGGCATGTGTACAACGTTATCCCTTTGAATTAGTCAGTGTAGAAGGTTTTCATCTTTAATGATATGGGGATGACTAACATGGTTGAAGTGTTTCCTTTACATAACCCATGCCGTTATCCTCTCTGTGACCCGGTGGCTCCTCTTTACAGTCTGACCCTGACCTGTCTCGTAAAAAACAAAAAAAGTGTAGAATTCAAGTAAAAAAGGCTGTTTTACTTTAGCCGGACTAGCTATAAACATGTATGTCATGGTATATGACGATCTACAATAACTACTAAAAGTTGTTTAACAAAAGAGTTGAATAAATGATTACTGAATATAGATAGATAGTGAGACTCATCTTCCTCTGAGATAATGTTTAACTGTTGAACTCCCTCCGGGCCCAGACTGCAGCCCAGACACTGGAGAGCCGTGAGAGGCTGGAGCTCCTGCAGAGCGAGCTCTCATGTCTGCAGAAGATCCACAAAGACAACATGAAGGAGATCACAGAGAGAGGCGTCTGCATCACCAAACTGCAGGCGGCCTCTGAGCTGCTGCGACTACAAGAGGGCGCTGACACACGCACTCAGGTGGGCACAGTGTGGAGCAAGGATTCAGATCTTTTGCTTTTACATTGTACAACAATGTTCAAATACTCCTTTGGAAGTGTTTGAACTCTGAATTGTAATCAGATGCGCCAGCCTCTCACTGCTCTCAAGTAAGATCACTTAAGCTAAATTAATTTATAGCAACAACAAAAGTTGGGGAACAAAATGTACCCTGACTGATATTTTATTATATTCATTATATATACAGTATATGAATAATCTTGACCCGAAACAAAGCAATTAATAACACTTGAAATTGAAATTAATGAAAGAAAATACTGCATTAGAATTGTATTAAGTACTGCAGTTCATATCGTATTTGTGTACAAGTTTGTGTCTTAAGTAAAAGCACAAATTCAGGAGTAAAATGTACCCTTTGAGTGTATTTTATTATATTTTATAACATATGTTTTTTGAACAATCATGAACGGCAAACAAGCTAATTTGTAAATCTAACATGTGTTGTATTAGCAATCTAAAGCAGCATACAATATAAATACTTTGAGCTGTTTAAAGGGATGTTGCCTAGCAATGGGCCTCTTGATGTCTTCATTTGAGAGGAAGTGACTTGCACCTCATTTGTTTTTACATAATACACCATGTGACTGCCTTCACCTTTTTCCTGACTAGCTCTCCAAGCTGGATGAAAGAGCGAGGAAGCTTCAGGAGGAACTTGGGAGGAAAGAGGAGGAATGGAGGCAGAGAGAAAACGAGCAGAGACTGAAATATGAAAAGGCCCATGCTCAGGCTGTTGGACCGTGGGCCAAAAAGGCAGATGTCCTGAAATCTGAGGCGAGTTGACATATGATCTATTGTTTTAACCGAACTCCACAATGGGTCATAAGTACACGTGGCTGCATGTGATATTATTTACTTGCTTCCTTCGTTCGAATTGTTGTGTATGAAATGATTCTCTTTCCCCCGTGAACTCAAAATATCCCCCCTTCATCCACAATTAAAAGATGACTAGAATCATTCAATTGCGATTTTAATAATGTTTAGAAAAGTTTCTCCTTGTTTGAACTCAGAATATTTTCATTTTTTACTTTTTATTCTCGAGGCTCTGACTTAGACGGAAAACTTTAAGTCTTATTTTTTACGATACAGCTTTCCTAATTGAGCAGTTTGTTTACTTACAGCTCGGCACAAGACAGCATATTTACACGCGCTTACGCAGACTTGTACAAAAAAAGAAAAACAGCAAAACACTTCACCTTAATTCAGACCTCAGACACTCTCCCCCCCTCCACCCCCCTCCTTCCTTCCATCCTGCCATCTCCACAATCGCAAAATATTGATTTGAGGAGCTGGGGGGGGGGGTTGCACGATTGCGGCCGCATATTAATACGAACGGGCCGCTCTTCGTCTCTCCTCTATACTTTAAGATCCTCATATCTTCATAATTGATTAATGTTCCTTTGTGAAGTGGGGATGAATAATACATTAGTGGGTCTGCTGCACCCTCAGGCTGATGAGAAAATGTTTAATTTCAGTAAATGTAGCGCTGCCTCTCTCTTTCATTTTCCCTCTCTGGTTATTTGTGAGTGTTGGAGTGTGTTTGTGAGTTTTCACTCGCGAGCCGAAGACTAGAGGAGTGTTGTTGATTTGCTCCTTTCGTGTTTACTGTCGGCCCGAAGTGCATGTTAAGCATCACAAACAAAAGGCGGCATCTGTATTTGTGAATGAATAAATTGGTGGAATGAGCGCAGCATTGTTCCATTAACTCATATAACTGTTACAAGCTGTTTGCCATCAAAAGAAGAAATCAACCCTTTGGACATCTCTGCACACGTTGCGTCAGAACGCCCTGCGAACATCGGCTGCTACGGTGTCCATCGGCAATCAGTGAGAGCGTGCAAATGTTGTATAAACCCTCCTGATGGGGACAAGAGGCTCTTCAGCAGCCTGGAAAGGTGCCAGGAGGGTGACATATGTCTGTCGCTGTGACTGGCACGGGCTGGCTCTGTTTAACAATGCTAATTATGCTAAACACGTGCTAATGATGATGATTAAGGGGTTTAAGAGCTACAGCATGGCATGTTGCGTGTGGACGGGTGGGGTGTCTGGCACCTGATGGTGAGCATCTGTGGGTAGAATAAATAAATGAAGCGCGCACACACACACACACACACACACACACACACACACACACACACACACACACACACACACACACACACACACACACACACACACACACACACCCACAGGTCTCTCTTCATGCCTACTTAGCCTCGCTTCATTTTCATTTTGAACTTGTGCCAATGATGATCTATACGCAGGCACAGCTTCATCCGTACACACTGAGCGCTAATTGAATAAATAATTTGTATCCGTTAACAAGCAGCCTAATTAGTTATGCTAATCAGCCTAGATAACCCAATTAACCTCATAGAGTGTGTGTTTATGTGTGGGTGTGGATTTCTCTGCCTGAGAGCATATCAGAGACACTTAAGAAAACACATTTGCCTAATTAACTCTCAATGACATAATCAAGCATTTATGTTTTTTTCATGATTTTATTGTTCTACTTTTGAATGCCAGATAATAGCCTTTCCACACCAAAGGAATACATGGGACTTAATTCATGTTAACGGTGTTTTCCACATATGAGAGGATAAATGCCTTTATGCACATTTCTGTTTGCCTTCTGCCAGTTAGATCCACATGGACATGTATATTCTTACAATTATTATGGTAGTTTAAACAGAGTGTATATTTTTTCAGGGAATGTCTGCCTGTTCCATTAGTTTATGTCCTTGGAAATACAATTTGGCCTCAAGTTCTCTCCGTTTATTTAAAACCTTCAGTCAGCGTTCCCATCCTAATAGTGAGCTGTGTTTCCTCTCGTTTAGCTTCACCACTCATTATCCGGGCCATGTGGAAGAGACAGTGTTTAGAGAGGAGAGGGGGAGAGAGAGAGGGAGGGGGAAAATGAGAAAACGCCAGCTCAAAGCCCAAAGATAGAGGGAATGAATGAGTGACTGAAAGAGAAAGAATGTAGATTTTCTTTGAACCTGACCACAGCTCCTTGTGCTTCTAATGAATGCTGGGAAGCTAAGGGAGGGAGACACCCAGACAAGACTGTCTTTGTTGTGCCTGTGCGAGGGAGAGAGTCACACACAGATAGACGTACAGAGAGAGAGAGAACACAACAGATTTATGTCTTACAGGAAGTCTCCCAGATTTGTGGTGTCGCACAACCGCCTACCCGAGTCAACTCCATGCTCTGGCTTTTAATCAACAGTCAGAGTTCATGCGTACACACACTTGTATTTACTGGGTATTCATGTTCATGGGTGTATCTGTTTGGCTCTCTGGCATGGTTCTCTGCACCTGTGTTTGCATAGGTGCGCCAGTGTTTGCATATTCTTCAATTAAAACATAACCTCAGAATGTTTTGACATGATAATAAGAGTTACAAGGTGTGTCGAACAAGTCTTACAGTCACCTATACATACATTCATTTGGATTACCTTTTTTTATTATTATTTTAATTATTTTAAACAGTTTAAACAAATACTGAAATTACTATGACCCGGGGCCACTTTTGCAAAATGACAGGAAGCCACAGGCCATTTAATAAACAAACATGTATAATACTTTTTAAGATTTTTAAGAATTCCTAATTTTCTAATTAAACTTTTTCTAATCATAGCTCTATTATTCAGTTTGGACATTTGTATTTGCAATGTAGCACCTCATTCTCATTAAAAGCACAAAAAAAATTCACATTGGAAATAAAAAAAATGCCACCCTCCGACCAAATTTGGCCCATGGGTCGTAAATGAGGTATCACTGGTTTAATGGCTACCTTCAAAATTGCCTTATGGTGTTTTAAAAAACGACTGAGGTTTTAAATGCTCTCCCGACATTAGCATGAGGTCATGGCACCTTCGCTAATGTGCTAATGGAATTCACAGTAGTGAGCTAAACTGTGCGGCTTACCGTCCAAAGCCTGCACTTTTGTAATGGGAAGACCAAACACTGGATGCAGCGCAGGTCTCCAACAGGGGTGAGATGCTAATATTAGCTCGTGCTCACATTAGCTGAGTCATCTTCTCTGTGTCCTTGGCTTATTATCTGATTTAAGACTGATTAGATTAGTCAGCCACACACACACACACCCACACACACACACACACACACACACACACACACACACACACACACACACACACACACACACACACACACACACACACACACACACACACACACACCACATTTAAATATCAAAATGGAATTGCTTGACCAGTGAAAACTAGATTAATTCAAAATGTTTGCATCAAGGTGCGGGGAAAAGCGATGACTGTGCATATTTTTAATGCACCTTGCGGCATTTAAAGCCATTTATGACATTATCTAAAGCTCATGTTATGCAAACACATTTTTCAAGTCAAAGCCACTTATGTTGAGGATACGTGATGCTCCTTTTTTTTCTCCTCTGCCTTGATTTGACTTCACGAGATCATCAGCATAGGTATTGATTTTGCACTCCATTTGGTGGAGTTTTATAAGCTAAAAAGTGTATAACCTATAATAACATGCAGTAACAGTATAATGATGTTGAGCTCTGCTGCACTACTGTGTGTGCATGCCATGTGCTTTTCATCACAGATATGTAAATGGGGTTTAGGTAAGAGATTAAAAGAAAATGTTTGTTTTGTACAGTACATGGACACAGTGTTCATCCATTTAGCACAGTGCTGTTACTTCCGCCCCCACCTTCATCAAGCTGTGTCAAGGTTATGCAAACAGATTGGCCGTTGCTCTGCTCCCAACAAACGCCACAAATAGCTTTTCTTCTCTCTCGTCTCCAGAAACTGTCAAGAGAATGCTACTGGGTCAAATCTCCTGACAGCCTAACAGCGTGCTGGGTGATGTAAGTTTGGCCTAGAAACCTCCCACATCTTTATTCTTCCTTTGAGAAATAATTTTCTATTATGTCATTGTTGTGCACTCCTGTTTCCTTCCGTTTGAATGTGTTGCTCCGTTCTACTTTGAGCCATTTGATCAGCTCAGAACGCGGCGTTACACTTTTAGATAGTTGTTGTGGTAAACAAGAGTACGTTGTCTCGCTGTCTTATAGAGTTTGAAAGCGGAGTGCCAATTTTACTTGAGACTTTTTCATGTTGGATGTAAGGAAGTACTCAGCCACTGTAAAAATGTGTACGTTCCTGTGTGCTCATGTTCAAGACTGTTTGCTTCCTCTCTTTATGCGTGTGTCTGTGACAGTCTCCTCTCAAGATGTTAATTCCTCTCCTCCCCGTTGTTGTCATGCTAACACCAGCAGTGTCTGCACCAGGGAGACGAAGACATATTGGTGTTAATGAAAAGCCCTCCTAAACTCTCCTCCCCGCATGAATGTTTAAACATGCTTGTCATAACATTCATTCGCTCACACATGACAGCTAGCATCTGCAGCTGCCTTGCTCGCCCTCAATATTTTATCATACCATCTCCCCTAACCCCAGACTAGCACAATGGCTGTGTGTTGGAAAACGGAATTATAATGACTGAAAACAGGCCGTGTACAGACTCACTACCAGCACAGGACATACATAATGTATTCAGCAACACCACAGGCTTCATAATGGTTCAATTAGTCAATCTTAAATAAGAAAGAAAGGCCAAATGGCGGAAATGTGGAGATACATAGACATAAGAAGTAGAGGGGGATAAACAAAGAAGATGAAAGAAACACAGAAGAAAAACATAACAAAAAAGAAAAGGGGATAGTTTTTAAAATATTGTGAAGAGAAGACATAAAAGGAAGACAAGTCCTCATATGAATGTACTTACAAGCTTGAAACCTGCCGAGGTTTTTATTTATTTTGTTCTATTTGGATATGTTTTAGTGCAACATTGACCTTATTCACCTTAATAGTACAACATAATGCTTGTTATTGCAAATGAAGAAAATGACGGTTTGGTCTCCTGGCACCATAGGATGGTTCAATCATTCCGTCTTAAAACTAAATATGATAAATATAAAAGGTTGAAAGATGGAAATGCACCAAAACATTGACAGAAAAGAGAAGGAGATGAACAAACTACATAGAGAGAAAGAACGATGACCGACAAAGAGAAATAAAAGGTTTGTGAAGAAAGAAAATAATACATTGGGAAAGGAAAGATAAATCCTCATGTCCATGTACAGTTTTCTATTCAGAAGTCCCACAACACTGCAGGTCAGCAGTTGTGACCTTGGTGGTTTTGACAGAAGTGGTTCACCATGGTAACGGTCGGTCGAACTTCCCCGCACCCCTCGTCACTCCCCAACCTTCCTCGCTGCCTGTCCTCTCATTTGATTGGACGCACAATTGAAATGTCATGCCTCAGAAACACACATGCACACACACCAGATCAACCAGACTGAAACAAGACAACATGAGAGAAACCAGAGGCAAATGTAACACTCAGAGGGGAGAAAGCTTCACTTATATCTCTCTTCAGAAGAAATAGCCCTAAATATGTGAGTGTTTATCTAAACTCATAGTTAAACCTTGTGTGGTGGACATAGGCACAGAGCATCAAAGCAGGGAGGCTTGTCATAGCAGCTGAATACAGAATCAAATGAATATTAATGCGGAACCAATTACCTCAGGGAAATGTTGTCTGTAGGTTAGCTTGGCTAACACACGTGTCTCACCTTTAGCAAAGTGGAAGCAGTGGGGGGGAGCCTGGAGGCTGGACAGCGCTGATGTATTCGTTTTCCTCCTAACAAGCTTGTCTACCCCTTATAAAATAGAATTGTCCACCCCTCCCCTCTCCTTATTTCACCTAGATGCAAACTGCGTATAAAGAAAATGAATTATGGAGAGAATAAATGATACAATTCTTCGACAATGCCTATGGCTAAGAGGAAGTTAATATTGTCTGACCACGTTGTTTGTTTGCCAAGATTTCATGAGCGGCATTTATAAATGTGTTGCTACAATATTGGTTAAAGGTGTTTTTTTTCTATATCAGGCTTGGTTAAATAATAGAACTTCACATAAGCGAATTAACAAAAATGTGATTTTTAAGGTAGAAGCACATTTTCATTCACTCACCTTTCCCTGTGTGCAGCAGTTTTGAGTTTGTGTAGTGTGAACCTGTTGTTGTGTGAGCAGCTTAGTGGAGTGCAGCACTGATCTGTTCGGGTCTCTAGCTGACGATCTGCATAAGTGACTGTGGCACACTTAAAGCTGCTGGCTCCTTTAAGCCCCTTCTAAATCAGTGTTAAAGCCTTGATAATAGACCTCACTGGCCAATTGATTGGCCTTCATATGTTTACAGCTCACTTTAATTGCTTCAAAAATACCATTTATCAGCCATGTGTGTCCATGTTTGCATGTATGTGTGTGTGCAAGCATGCCTGTCCATCGACAAAAAGGCCTATTGATTTATCAGCATCTGGATTTGTCCCGTTCACCGTACATAAAACCCCTGCGTATGTGCTGTTCAGAATGGGAAATGGCCCCATCGATTCCCTTAAGTTGAAGCCCAAATGCTAAAGATTTTTGGATAAGCTTTCTCATTATTTAAGCTGAAATCAATAGGGGAGAGCACGGGTCTAATGAATGAACGGGCCACAGATCAGATGGGGTGTGCTCATCCCCGGCCTGTCCTGGTCGATCTGCGTGGGGAGTGTGTGTGTGTGTGTGTGTGTGAAAGAGAGAAAGAGACAGGAAGAAAGAGAAAGAACCCTTTTTATTTGGTACTTACAAAAAAAACACACCATAAGTCCACCTGTGTCTTTATTTATTTCCCTTTATATGCCCCATTGCTGTTCAGTTACTTAACTTGTATGTGTTCCACATTGGTGTAGCAGAGTTATTCTTATCATTATTCTTATTGAGCCATTTCCCACCCTTGTCTCTGTAGTCGGCGGTCAGCAGGAAGCAGGTGGAGCGGCAGCAGAAGGAGCTGTCAGGGTCCCGTCAGAAGGAGGAGGCGCTTCTCTCTGAGGTATGGAAAACACAACAAAAAAACATTCCTTGCATTCATGTGTGTCCCTGTCATCCTCATTTAGCTGTGGTTTCCCCTCTCACCCTTAGCTTGACTCCTCCGCCTGAAAGGAATTATAAATGCAATGAAAATTCATCATCTGGCCTCAAAAGGCTCAGTTTCCCCAGGGGGATCAGTGGAGTTTGATCTTATCTTTTTAGCTTAGAACACATCCAAGGGGAGAATAAATTACTAAACAAACACAACCGAAATACCTACTGCAAGTGATCATGGATTGAAAGAAAAATTACACACATTACCCCATTCAAGTCTAGATTGAACATACATTTGCATCGGAATATAAGATGTCGTGCGACAGTGAAACCAAAAATGATATGCAAACACACACCGACTAACCCTCACAACAACGCTGGCTGACTTCCTGGTTTTTCCACTTTTCATTCTTTCCACTCTTCTGAAATAGCAAATGATACAGAGTGGTGTGTGTCTGGGAAATTCAATTGTCATTTGCCCAGCGTTCAAATACTGCCTTTTAGAATATACTTACAAGGAAACAGCAAAGAGTTTCATTTTATTTTAACTCATGGAATCAACTGCATTAATAAGACATATTAGCCTGAAGCCATTTAAAGTTGACAATAAATCGATGAACTTTTCTTATTGTTTGTGGTTTTATTTCATACCACAAACGTTTGTAGTAGGTTTTTTACGAGTTTTTGCCTCCTGGCTATACAAAAAATATATTTATTCAAAATATGACTATTCTGAATTTGATATGGGTCTTGTAAACACAAAACTCCTTACAAGGCTCCAAACAGGAGTATTAGTGGAATATTCCTTTTCATTACAGTAACAGCTTAGTATGACTTTTGTCTTTTTTTTAAATGAGGGAAAACCACTATATTTTGTGCATGTCAACTTAAACAATGAGTAATTTGTCAGTGAATGTTATAATATAAATAATACATTATAACAATATATCTCTGTCAAGTCCAATTTTCAAACTCCCTGTCCCTTCCCCTCGCTCCCCTCGAAAGTGTCCCGCCTTTTTCCTCCTCATAAATATGGAAGGCAAAAGATGATGAGATTCACGGACAAGAAAGGAATCAAAATCTATTGTTGCGTGTCCTTTTCCCCGTGTAAAGTTTGGATTAAATGTCACACATTAGCATGTGAACTTTTAAATGAGCTTGTTTGCTCTCCGCGGTGTGGGGCATGTAAATACCCATCCTGAGTATGGAATGGGGGATTGCTTAGCGGGAGCTGGGGGTTCACAAGAATTGGGAAGTGTAGGACACATTTGAGTGTGGCACCGGCAATTAGGGCCGCAGCGAGGGACCGGAGGACCAAACAGCTCTATTGACAGGCAGTGTCTGCCGTTCCACACCTGAAGTGGCAGCGAGTGGGAGGCGGGAAGGCTCCCTTATGGCTGCTACTTCTGGTGATTTGAGGGAAGATGATTGACAGGCACTCCCAAAATGAGATGATTGACGTGCACTGTCACTATGAATCTACTTATGAGCAACTTCAGGTGTGAGTGGAAAGAAGAGTGTGTGAGTGTGTGTAAATACGCATGGGTATCGGACATTATAGTAGTGTGTAGCTCTGAGTAAGGCAGGGCTATGTATTGATAGTATATCAATATTGTGGTATGAGACTAGTTATTGTCCTAGATTTTAAATGCCATAAATATCGTTTTTTCCTGGTTTTAAAGGCTGCATTACAGAACTGGTGGTTCATTTCAGAATTCACCAGACTCTCTTAGTTTTTCCTTCATTGACCTTTACCCGCTTACTTAATATATCAACATTTATCTTGATTTTTTATCAACATTCTCAATGTGATACATCTCGATAAATGCCTAGTCCTTGCTAGGTGTTGACCATCAAAGATTACACATATCAAATGCTTAAAATGTAATTTACTCTAAACCTTTGTAGTATTGATCCAGGCTTCAGTATTAACCTTTCTGAGATGAACCTATAAAAACACAAGCATACATCAAGATTACAGATTCTGAATCTGTCCATAAAGTTTAAGTAAGTCATGCAGAATCGTGTATTTCAGACTCCACATGATGTTATGAATGTGTGTGCGTTGTGTAGGATATTTAAAACTAACCAAACCCCATATTGTTTTCATTGACTCTGATTCCCTTTGTTTTAAAATGCGAGGCTGCTTATTTATCGACGTAATTTCCTCTCAGTGAAGGGCTTGTGTCTGTAAAACACATTAAAATCATAATGCAATCTTTGCTAACCCAGGAGCAACGTTATTGTTCTCTCCGAACAACAGCACCCCGGCCTGTTTATCAATCCAATATCTCATAATGCGCTCTCTGCTTGGTCATTTTGAATATAAAAAGATCTCACACTGTTATTGTACCATATTTCCTATACTTAGTATCAATCTCTTGTTCTGACACGGATCTGACACATCCAATATGATATTTGATTAGTTGTTGTTTTGTTGTTGTTTTTTTTATAGTCTCCAGGTGATATTGGCTACATGTGCAGAGGTGGTATTATGTTGGCTGTTTCATCTGGATATAAAAATGATTTAGTGTGTACTCAGCACGCAGTGTCATTGACTAGCTTTAATTCCACTGCAAGGGTGGACTTTATTACTCTGCTACTCTCCGGAAGTGTGTGTGTGTGTGTGTGTGTGTGTGTCAGAGAGGGAATGAATGTTTCTGTGCATGTGTTTTTCATGCCACACCTTTTACACACGCTTGTGCACATGTCTGTATATCTCTCCCGGCCTGTATCTTCAGCACATAATTGCCAGGCAGTGTATGAATCATCTGCACCAGCACGTGGAGCAGCTCTCACACTCTGGACAAACCGGTGGTCCCGGTCCGAGAAACAGAGGGGCTCCACTTTGCCATGACAAACCTTACTTTTGATCAAATGCTACAGAGCCATAATCATGTTTGTGCCACTGAATTCTTTAACCTTTTCATGACCCCGCTGAATGCCAGCGGCCCAATCACTGAACCTAATTGAATCTGCTCGGCGGCGCCCCCCCCACTGATGAAAAAATAAAATTGGAGGTGAAAAATGAATAGCATGCTGGTGGTGGGAAAGATTTATAAATACACAGATGTGCTCACACACACACACACACACACACCTTTTTCAATCCTGCAGGAGAGTGTGGAATGAGAGGAGGGTAGGAGAGGCTGGGCCCTGGTTTCTCATTCCCCCCCGGCCCATTCGGAGGATATTCCTATAAGATAATCTGATTTATTTGCAATTTTCCTTTAAGCGGCTTAGTGTTTACCTCCAAGATTAATATATTTCTCTGTTATTAATATCAGACTGTAATTAGGAGTGATGTGTCTCGCTCCGTTCAGTTTCGTGGCCGCCAGGCAGCGCGCTGGATGAAACTCTCGCTGCGACTCTGTGATCCCCTTTCACAAAACAAAAAAAAAAGAGAAGGAAGTTTTAAAAGGAGGAAAGACACTGCAGGCTGGGGATGTAGAATTACAATCGCAGCGTACCTGCCTTTGTGTCTACGGCTGTCTGCATGCGGGAAGGTACCAATATGGGAGTGTGTATTTCTCCAGTGTGTGTGTGTGACAGTGTGATGGTCCCCTCTGATTGATAAGGTGTCTGTGCAGGCTGCAGATTGCTCTTGCTGATTGCTTCTGAGAGCTCCAGCTGATTTATAATCAGAGCAGGATGAAGGATTGAGCCGTGGATTGCTTATCTGTTTAGCCCCCTCACAACATAAACTGACAAATTATCATGTTGAACACACACACACACACACACATGCACACATAGACACACAAGCACATGCGAAAAAAACGTAATAACGTGGACCTCCTTATTAAACACACACAAACACCATCACACACACACTCCGGCCATACAGAACATAGGCGGGGTTATTCATCAGCACAGTCATATTTTCATGATTGCAATGAGTCAGTCTGATTTGTTTACATGTCAGTATGAGAATATGTATGAGTATGAGTATATAGGTCAAGTTAAGTTGCAATTAACTTGTTTAACGCACTTAGAGTTTTGATTTGTTCCATAATCAGGATCATAATCAAAATACTTTGTTTATCCCCAGGGAAATTGAGCTGTGTTGCATGAACGAATGAGTGAATAAGATAAAAGAAAACCATATCTTTGAAACAACATAAGAAGTTAAAGTAATAATATCCAATTAAGAGATAAAATAAATAAATATATTTATACAAACCTAAGAATTATAAGTAAAATGTCCAATGAAAGACAATAAAAAATATAAATATTTCTGTAAACATAAGAAGTAAAATGTGTAATAAAATAAAAATCAATATAATAATAATATTTAAATTAACATACAAAGTCAAAGTAAGAATGTGCGATAAAGATATTTAAATAAACATACAAAATTAAAGTAAAATGTCCAATAATAAAACAAAAAAAATCTAAATCGAATTATATAAAAATTATATAAAAATAAAAACAATACTTGGGATTCTGTACCTTGATAAGTATGTGGACGTTTTTATTACTTACCTGATATTTAACTGCTTTTCTCTACTCATGTCCCTCAAATCTGCACTTTTAGTGGTTAAAATGCTTCAGACAGAACAACACAAACAAATTAATTACTGTGTGTGATTATGTTTGTATAAATATATTGATATCGTATAACTTAGGTAGGTGTTTCTGGATTTCGATAAAGAGGCTGGCATATTATGTGAGACTAATTCCGCTTGGCAAACCACAGAACAAGCCAGCAGGTTTAAATGCTGACAGGTTTAGTATGCCCTATGGCACTGTGACAGCTGTGTGTGTGTGTGTGTGTGTGTGTGTGTGTGTGTGTGTGTGTGTGTGTGTGTGTGTGTGTGTTTTCTATCTTCCTTCTCTTCCTTCCCTGTTACTTTCACCACAGTTGTTTGTAAATGCACAGTGACAGAATCACAAAAGAAGCACAATAACACAAAGTACAGGAGCACTTGGCATCACACACACACACACACACACACACACACACACACACACACACACACACACACACACACTGACGAATGGCAGCAATTAGATGGGGAAACCAAGCATGTGAGGACAGAGGAGCGCTGAGGGGCTGCAACCGCTGTATGGAACGTGTGTGTGCGTGCGTGCACGTGTGTGTTGTTCATGTTTGTGTGTATTTGGATTCCTTCTAATGCACCATCCATCTGTCTAAATATCAACACTGTCTAATATGTCACTGGACAGTGGCTTTGGTGGGGGTGCAATTTGTTTTGGGGTGTGAACATTTGCAATCAAGCCCCAAATAAGAAAAGGACTGGATTACAGCAATATCAGTTTGCAAAATGAATTGCTCGTGGGACTCAAGCTGGAACAATGATTTTATATGTTGACAGCAGACACACTTCTGTACAATAACATAAGGCTGAGGTACAGACAGAGAATGTTTTCATTTGTGTGTCCCCTTGCTCAGTTTTCACGTCAGCCTGAGTTGTTTAACCCATCGGCCTTGAGACCTTGAGTTACTTCAGTGCTTTTACTCGCTTCCCATTGGACGAATAACCTCTCACATTAGGTCAAGTGCTGCCTACGTTAAGCCTTTTCAGCCACAGTCCCACTTCCTGAGAGACTTTAGCATGTTAGCCATCCCATATCTATTTCCATTTCCGCTGAGGATAGTACCCCAGGATCCTCAGATGATGATTTGTCTCCCCTTTCTAGTATCAGCTCACCTAGTCATGATATGATATTAAACAATGACATGTCAACACACTGTAAAACTATTTTCCATTTATTTTAGGCACATAAGCAGCTATGCACATAACAAACATTTTAAAACAAACTCATATTGCAAACACATGTGCCCTTATCCCAGACTTTACAGATGTAACGAGGCCTACATGAAATCCAAACATGTGTCAGGTTTTTTTTAATCCAAGTATTCGTGGAGCGTGTGATGTGTGTGAGAGCACATTTGTGTCGCTCTGTGTTATTAACGGTCTTCATGCCAACTTTTTACTGATTTATTCTCTCCTCTGTGGGATTGTGCAGATTTTACAAGCAGGTGTGTGTAGATTTGTATTTATGACCTGTGGAGATGTGTGTTAGACACCACCGCTGATGAATTACTTCACTTCTGATTGCTCGCATCACAAATCATCCCCATATTATAACCCTTCTCATGCAAATAAGTAGGCACTGCATATGTGCCCGAGCACGGCATATAGAGAGAGAGAGACGATGAATACATGTGTAAACAAAATAATGCAAGCTGTTATTTACATATAAAATAAATGAAAAACTGTGAGTTCATATACGTACAGTATGTACCCAATGTATAGTATCTATGTTTGGGTATTATGAATGAGTAAGTATGTGTGTGTGGTAACCCTGTATTGCCGGCGAGCTCATTCCTCTCAGAAATCAAAGTTAAATGGGTCATCTATCATGAGAATATGTGACTGGGACACTTGTCTCTGCCATGATCTGAGTGTGTGTGTGTGTGAGCGCAAATATGCACCCAAATGAAAGGTGTGTGGTGCAGGGCAGCTGGTGTGTGCCTCTGCAGCTGTGTGTGTGTGTGTGCCTCTGCGTGTGTGTGTGTGTGTGTGTGTGTGTGTGTGTGTGTGTGTGTGTGTGTGTGTGTGTGTGTGTGTGTGTGTGTGTGTGTGTGTGTGTGTGTGTGTGTGTGTGTGTGTGTGTGTGTGTGTGTGTGGCGGCCACTTGTCTTTGCCTGCGCTATGATTAATGGTTTACATTGGGCTGTTCAGCCATGCATGTTTCTTGGTTTATCGTTTTTATGCTGTCTCCAATTAAAGCTCCATAACTTGAGTGATGGCTTCGCGCCAGTGTCCATCAATAGAGGCCATCAGCGGCCTCATGCATTCAGGATATGGAAGCCACACAGTAACTATTATCCTCTTGTGTCAGAGCTATCGGGCAGTCTGTGTATGCAAGAAATATGCAGATGTGGGTGTGCGCGCGTAGTGAAAAAACTAATCCTGCCCATAACCCTAGTTGTATTCTTTAAAGAAATTGTCTGTGTGGTCAAATAATACCACCTTTTTAAATGTATCTAATCAATTTCAAATATATTCATATAAATGGCAATTTCTCTCTTTCTTTAAAATTATGAGAAAAGCACAACTGATGGTTGTTACACAGGCACACACACACACACACTCACACTCCAGTTGCTCTCACCTAGCACAAATTTC